CCATTCAACTTGGATTAGGGAGAAGGTGCAGCTGGTAACGTGAAAGTTGGTGGTCGTCCCTATAGCAGGCTGAGAGCTTCACTACCTGGGATACATATAACATGGCCTACCCACTCAACATCCAATGGGAGAACAGGATACTGCTTCAGCCATAAAACACCCTGGCCACTGCAGTTACAGCAGTGGCAGGAAGAGCCATGTTCCCTAATTTGTGGATCTGACACTAAGCTAGTTCCTTGGTCAGGAACACATCTCTGGGTGTTACTTAGGAGTGAGCATGTTAGCAAGGTGACTTTGTACAGCTCTTCTTTTCCAACTAAGTACATGGGAAAGGGAGTGATGGGGACTGGGCCACATTATCCTGAAGGCCTCTGATGACCAACAATACCAACCATGCTGCCTGGCTTAAGGAACTTCTCATCCACTACAGCACCATGAAGCGGTGGGGCAGAGAGTCCTTCCACAAGGAGGCCACAAGACACCATCCCACACAGTTTAAAAGTGCCAGATCTGGGAAAGCCTCACAATACTCTCTTGCCTGCACCCAACTGTGAAAACTGCCCCTGCACACTTACCTGCATTATGAGAACTGACCCTACTTCTCTTGTCTAGGGCTCCATTCTGAGTTGATTCTTGATTATGTACAAGTGAGGCCACAGCACAGCCTTCAGAGAAGCACCAAAGAGGAGGAAATGAGGCCCAGGGCAAGGTAAAGGTGATTTTTTTTGTCTTAGTTACCTTTCTCTCATTGCTAACACAAAATAGCCTATACGCATAGTTAAAGACTGAAATGTGTATTTAGCTCACAGTTTTTAGAGGTTCATTCCATGGTTAGCTTGCTCCAAGGCATGGGGAATTGGCAGAGTGTCATCACAGAGGAGAAACAGCTTATAGGGTACGAAAAGCAACAGGGATGGATCACAACAGTGTCTTTCTGCCCCTTTTGTATTGCATCTCGGCTGCAGGGATTAGTGCTCTACCAAACCAGTCTTTTAACAATCACACCCTTAATACCAGTATCACACTCTCTAGATTTAGCCTCTTTTGTAAGGAGTGGATGAAGCTGAAAGTCAATCTTATGTTCAGGGTTCAACAAAAACCACTCAAGAACACAGGGTTTAAACAAGCCTGACAGCTTGCAAACTGGTTGCTAGGCAGAGGTTAAAGTTGACATTAACCTCCTGTTTGTAAATGCATGCTCTAGATTCTTGGGCAGTTCCTTTCCTCCCATCAGGACAGGCAGGGATTGACCTGACCTAGCTTTCATCTCTTGTCTTTATTTCTCCACTCCCTCTATTTCCTTCAAAATGTCACAAGAGCTGTGCAAGACTCTGGAAACCTCTGAAAGCCTGATCTATGACTACATGAGGAGGATTTGGGGGTACATCTAGACACAAACCATAACATTCTACCCCTGTCACCAAAAATATTCATGCATGAAAAAGGTATTTAATCTCTATCAGTTGCCTAACTGCTAACAGTGACAAAAGGTAAGAAACCAAACAAGCAACAAGTCTCTTTATGAGAGCTGTGGTCATTCATGGTTGCTTTGAAACCTTCTTCTGCACACTATTTCTCCTCTGTAATACCCTCTACCATGCCACCCTGACATGGAGCCAATAAATAACCCATAGAAACCTCCTCACAAACTGTGAGGCAAATAAAGCTTTTCTCTTTGCTTTTGGGTGTTAGTATCTTGTTGAAGAAATGTGGAAAATAATGAAGACATGGGCTCCACAAAAAGGGTCTGCAGACAGACCACAACCAGTTAAAGGGAAAAGTCTGTGTAGCTGTGCTCACCATTGTTGTCTCATGCTCTTTGCCAACTTCTCTCCCTTCACCCAATTCCCACTGGCCCACGTAGGCCCTGCTCCTGTGTCCCTAATGTTGAGGATAGATGCTGTTTACATGACCAGCAGTCAGAGTGCATTCCTCAGAGGCAAGTGGTGAATTGCCAGGGATCATGTCTCTGTGCTCTGATAGATTTGACTAGATGAGGGCTTGCAAGGTCTTCACCTGAAATCTTCTATGGGTCTTACTGAGGCCTCACTGGTTAGTCCACAATTACCAGGGAGACATTGTAAGAGCTGTTGGTGTGATCCTGCAGGCCCAGGTCACTGTCACCATAGAGACAATAAAAATGACCCAAAGGGAGAGAGAGAAGTGCCTGGTATGCCAGGCTAAAAGCGTAGATGAAAACATTTGCAAGTGTCAAAGCTTTGGGTGATATAGCCTCTTAAAGGCCAACCCTAGCTAGTGCTCAACAGGTAGGCAGTCTACAGAGACTAAAACTCCAGGATCTGCTGTACCTTGGAGAATGTGCATCAGTCCATTTAATCACACAACTACTCTCATGAGCAAGAACTCTAAAGGGGACACTGCACAGGGCCTAGAGTCAACAATGTCTCACCATGATTCTGGTCAGGAACCCATGAGGAAATAATCCTCATCAGGGACAAGTCTAGGATAAGCCATCTAAGGGACAGGGCTAACACCCCTGGATTGACTCACTGAGCTCCATAGCCCAAAAATGTCAAGGACGTAGGATTGGTCTCAATGACCTCTCAAGACAAACACCAAATCCTTACATCCTATAACGCAGACCAACTAGTGTACATAGCCACAAAGTACAGTCCACCTTGCCTTGGACATTTGCCTGCCTGCCCTACACAGATACCCTGCCAGGCCTCCAAGGTCAGCTGTGATTGTGGCCTCAGAATTTGGCTCTGTTGAGCGAGCATATCTATGACTCATACACATGTACCTTCATCTCTTCTTACTATACTTAAAGAACAGGTCAACAAAAGTCCGTGCTTTTCTGACTTTTCCTGCAAATGCAGACAAGACATGAAGGAGGAGAAGGGTTCAAAGTCTTTCACCCTGTTACAGAGCCTGAGGCTCCTGGGAGGTGCAGAATCTGGGATCAGCAAGCTCAAAGCAGACACCCTGTCCTTACCTGTCTAGAATGTCCATGATCAGGCATCCCACCCTTCTATCTTTATAAGAACCGAGAAGACCAGGACCCATGAGGTAGGATATATATTATTTTTTCTTTCTTTTTTCTCTTTTTAAGGAATTTTTTATTGTTTTAAAGGGAATAAAAATAACAAAATAAAATTAGAAGCAATACAGAATTTAACTAAGCAAAATGATAAGAATTCAATAATGGTTGTTACATTACATATTTTTATCCACAAATTGGTTTTCAAATTACCACATAAAAGCATTCAGTACAAAATGGTCCTTCACTTATGTTCCCTTTTTTGTTTAATTTTGTCAGAGATGAGTATTCCATTGACATTTAAATATTATAGGTGCATGAATTCAGAAAAATAGTCCAATATTGTACACTAGTCCTTAATAGTAGTGGGTTATCTGTAGGACTAGCAATGTCAGAAGTTGTTGACTTGAGCCTTTTATAGCTCATCATATTAATATGGGTTTACTTTTTATACCTTGTGTTTATACTTTTCTGCTGGCTTGTTGAGACCAAGATAAAGCAAGACCTATATAACAAGAAATGTAGCTTTGTATCTGATATGGTCAATCAAATCCCCTCAGCATTTACCCTGACATCCTGTACAGCAGTTTGTAGATCTTTTGTCAGTATCAGCCTTGTAGATGAATCATGGTTATTGTTTGACCAATTTGTTCTCTGTAAAAGCCTGAGAGAATGTTTTCTCTCTAGGTGAATCTCCTTAGGCACACTCTACATCATTAATCACTTTCCTTTGTAGCACCATACTCTCTTAGATCAGAAAATTTTGGGACACAACTGAATCACATAATATTACAGTACAGGTTCTTTTATGTCCTGAGTCCTCATCGACCTTGAAAGACCAGGGCCAAAATGTTGGCTATCCTTGTAGCCTTCTCTTTCTGTAATTTTTTGATCTGCAAACTTAAGTTGTTTACCCACCAGAAGAGAAGCTTAGTGATATTATTACCCTATAATATCTGTATATACAAAACAGTTAGAATAGATATGCGGCTACTTTCTTTTAGTTCAATGAGAAGAAAGATTTGTACTAATAGTGCTTAGACAAGACATCATGTCTACACCTTGTACTGTGAATAACTACTACAAAGACAACAATATGCAATGTATTGAGTATTGTAACTGTCCTACTAACTTGTTTTGAAACTGTCTCATTGCTACTTCTTTTTCAATAAAATTAATTTAAAAAATAAAACCATTCACGACTGGTCAAAAAATTAAAAAGAAGAAAGAAAATTTAAGCATTAACTATTCCTTTCAATAAACCAGCAGAAACCGGCAGTACATTTATACAACCCATCCTATGTATATACATATATATTTCTTTTTCCCTTCTTTTTTTCTTTCTTTTCTCCTTTGCATCATTTCAGTTGATCTTTATCATTGAACAATATTTTTCCATTTCATTGTATCCATTGTATCTTTTGGATTATTTTAGAAAACAGGCCTGATTATGTTCCTTGGGGAGCTATTGAGCTCACTATGTGGTGCAGACTGGCCTGGAACTCATCACGATCTTCCTGCCTAAGATTCCTAAACACTAGGATTAGAGGGATGCGATACCACACATGAATTGCTTTCTGCAGGAACAGGCTGTGGGCCTCTGCACTCACTCACTCATCAGTCACACAATCAGAGATGACAGCTTGACAGGACCTGAGATGGGACCCACAGATGGGGGTCATTCCCAAGGGACAAGGCACAGTGAGCACACTGAGGAAACTTGTCCCCACTAGACTGTTTAGCTCTGGTAAGTTTTCTCCAGTCCACTAACATTTTCCCTTTTCTCTATCATGCTCATTCTTGACCAGAGGGAAAAGAGAAAGATAACTTGTCACATATTTCTGAAGGAATTGATGGCAATTGGCTCGTTTCTGGAAATAATAGCAGATGAATCAGCCGGCTGCAGGTGGAGCAGCCAATAAATACTAGACCCAGGTGGACTTCTTGGCACTTTTCTTCACTTTCCAACACCTGCCAGAACAGCAGCTGCCCTGACGCGATGGCCCTGGGTCTCCTGTTCCTCACGCTGCTGTGCGCTCTGAAGATCCATGCCCAGAACACTTCTCAAAGCCATCCTCTTGAACCACTGAAGAATGAGATCCCTTTGCAGGCAAATTTCCAGGATGCATTGGTAAGGTTCTAAAAGGACAGCTGCAGGGATGGCCTGCAGGAACGGCAATGAGAACTAAGGGGAGGAAGACAAAGGTATTTGGCAACATTGTCAGTCCGAGAAGTAAAACAGAAGAGGTCCAGATCCAGGCCCTGTCAGAGAGGTCACCTTTAGCCTCTCAGGACAGATGAGAAATCTGAACTCCAAAGCCTACCAGTCATGTGTCCTGGGTCACCCCATCCCCAACAACTCAGGGCTAACTCCAGTCCCAGAGTCCTACATCCCACTAGCCTCTCATAGCAGCACCACAGCCTGCCCTTGTGGCCCAGAGGTGCCAGCAGGGACAGCATGGGAGGGGTAGCTCTGGGGCCATCTCTAGGCCCTGCTTGTCACCACCCTCCTGCAGTTTCAGGGGAAGTGGTATGGCATTGGTTTGGCAGACAACTGGGTTTGGTATCAAAGAGTAAAGAAGATAAATATGTTCAACACCTTATATGAGCTGCAAGATGACCACAGCTTCAACGTCACCTATATCAAGCACAGGTAAATCCGCCACCTCCTTTGGGTCTGAGAGGCAGAATTGACTGTCAGTCAGCTAGTGACTATGACAGAGGGATATTACTATTATTCTGAACACTATCTACCAAGTCAATGTTCCCCTTCTTCCTTTATTTTCCTTTTCCCTTTTCCAATCTTCCTTTGTTGCCTCTCTAAATCCCTCCCTCCCATCAACATTCATGGTTGGCTCCAGTACAATTGCATACAGTCAGAAGAAAGAAGAGATATTAAAATGTCCCAGAGGATGGACACAGGATCCAGTCTGAGGCTCAGCCTGTGGTGGTTTCAAACAAGGCTATGGTAGGGAGGAGGAAAGAACAGCAGAGGAAATAGCACCCCCTGTAATCCTAGCGGGATCATTTTGAGGCTCAGCCAGGAATATTCTTAGTTTTCACCCAGACTGAGCAAAGTGCTAAGACTCAGTCTCAAGATAAAAAATGTCACAAGTCCTGGGAATTTAACTCAATCCCCAGTGCCAGAATCACCAACAAAAAGAGATATGAGTCACAGTAAGAACTGGTGGGATCTGAATCTGAAAGCCTCACATTAGGAAGCCAATAAGCAGCCAGCCATCACCCATTGGTGTGAGCATACAAGCCGGAGCTGATGAGCAGCAAGGAGGGAGGAGCACTCCCAGGTCAGTTTCTAGGGCATCTCACTCTGGTCTACAGATTCTGAAAAGGCCAGAATTTGGATACAGCCACAGCAGGAGATGTGGGAAGAATGGTGAAGGTAAGGCTGGCCCATGCCAGGTGGGAGATGGCAGAGGTAGGGAAGAAGAGAACTCACTGGGGAGTCTGGACTCACTCACCAGTAATACAATCTGGCTCTGGCCACTGGGTTGATTTGAGGTGTCATCATTTCAGGCTGGAATGGCTCATTCCAGGAAATCAGGTTTTCAGCAGCTTGACTCAGTATTCAGGGTTGGAATGAACTCAATTTTCAAGTCAGTTGGGCCTAAGGTCTAGGGTAATGCTTGGCATTAGCAGAGAAGGAGCTCAGAGCAAATTGGCAGCAGTAATGGGAATAGAGAGACAAAGGACAAGAGCAGGGCTCAGTGTCTGGGGTCTGTGTGTAGAACAGGCTGCCCTGTAGAGGGAGTAGAGCGAACAATAAGTACTACAGAAAGGGTACAACAGCCCCTGAAGTAGAACAAGCAGAGGCTCAGAAGGAAAGTTCAGATTCATGAACCAGACTAGGTTAGGGCTCAGAAATAGTGGAAGACAGGTTGTCACAGGCTGGGTGGACTACAGCCTCACAATCCTCCATTAGGCCTGGTGCCACTTGTTCAAGCCCCAGAGGACCAAGTCTATGCAATCTGCATGCTCACCTCTGAACATTTCTCCTCTTCCACAGTGGTAATGGCTGTGACTACTGGAACAGAACATTAATCCCAAGTACCACACCTGGCCAATACAACCTAGGTGATATGCCAGGTGAGTTCCTACTGAGAGGGGAAGAATGGCTGTGGAATTGAGATGCTGTCCTCTGCAGAGAAGACTCTACTGACTGGTCCTGGAGGAAGTGGGGTAGTGACTTCCTCCAGACCAGAGCAGGAATGATTCTCTCCTTCTACACCGCAGATAATTTTCAACTATTGAAATACACTATGAAAGTTGTATCCACCAACTATGAGGAGTTCGCCATTGTGCACACGGAGAAGGATTTCACAACCGTGGTGAAATTCACTATCACTCTCTATGGTGTGTCATCACTCAATTCCCTTAGGAATTTCCTCCTCAGTGACAATTGGAGGTTGGGGGCCCTTATTGATCAAGACCTCAAAGTTTTCTGCACTATCAGCTCCCCTTAATGAGGAAGCTTTGCACTCCATGAGAAAACCTCCTTAGGCCTCACTTACTCAATATTATTTATGGAGTGAGTTACATATATGGAGTGAGTGAACTATGCCTATCATCCTAATACTGGGGAGACTGAAGGGAGAGGATGTGAGCTGCAGGTCAGCCTGGACTGCCCAGAAAGACCCCAACTTAAGAAATCAATAATATAACACAGTTCTCTCCATTACCCACTCACTGCCATATTGGCCACAGGGAGAACCAATAACCTGAGTCCAGCTGTGAAGAACAACTTTTATAACTTTGCCAAGTCACAGGGTGTACCTCACAAAAACATCATCTTCACTCAACCCACAGGTAATGGCCACCTCTGGAAAGGGTAAGGGATGTGGGTTCTGTCCAACGCTGATGTTACCCTCCCCAAGGAAAGGGAACAGAAGAGTCTCACCTCACTGCTTCAGCTTTGGGAAATCTATTGACTCCCACCCTGGAGTCTATGGGTCTTCAGGGATTCTGGATCCAAGTGTTCCCTTGGGCAGCTTAGCCAAGGGTTGACCAGATGACAATTTTGGGCCCAGGTCCAAGTTCCATAGTCTCATTGCCCTCAGCCTCCTTGTATTGTAGTAAGGGCCATTTCCTCTCCATACTTTGAGTCTTGCTGTCCTGTGCTATCTGACCCTTCCCCTGCAGCTTGCTTATTCCTTGGGTGGGAAATGTCCTTACTTTGAAGAGACCTGTCCTGGCGAGCAGGTCCCAGCCATGTCAGTAAGGGACACTGACTGAGAGGTTGCCATGGCTCAGTATATAACCAGGTTGCAGGTCATGGTGTCCAAGCAGCTGTGAGGCCCACATCCTGAAGAGAGGTCTTCCAGAGGTGATACAATCAGGGAACTCCCAGATCCTGTACAACTGTGTCAGGCTGGACCTGAGATGTACTATGGGCACCACAGAGGTCTAGGCAGCCAGAAACCATACACACAACCACACACACACACACACACACACACACACACACACACACCTGATTCTTGCAATGTTCTTTCTCCCTCACAGAGGAGTGCATCCATAACTGAACAGCCCATGAGTATGGCACAGCAATGGTAGGTGGGACACCTGAGCATGGAGGCAAGGGGTGTCAGCCAAGCCTTTTTTCAGCTCTCATCCTGCAGGCTGACATCTTGGTTTTGTTTTACCCTTTCAGGTGCCTCCCATGTCTCATCTTTCTGTTCTAACTGTCACTTCTGCCCTCAATGCAACCCAGCTATCTCACCAGCCAGTGTGCCAACAAGAAAGATTGGAGATCTCATTAAGGTGCAGTCCTGTCCACCCAACCATCCCAGAAGACATGCTATGAAGATCTCTCTCTTGTCTGCTAAATAAACACTTGACTTCAGGTATCTACATCTCTACTCAATTTCTTCTGGGTCATAAGAAAGATGTGGGCTAAGGGGTGGGCTCACAACAGCACCACCTCAGAGCCTGCTGGCCCCAGAATACTGTGTGCCATTAGAGCCCACAGCGAAGGCCCAGGTAGGAAGAGCTCCAAGCTCCCTTGGCAGCTTCATCACCATCACTTGAATCTGGCCTGGGTACAACTGTGAAATACTCTCTTGGGATTTGATGCATACTTAGAATTCCAGCCCTGGGCCTGCCTACAGAGCTGCCTGAGATAGATGCCTCCTCCATCAGAAGCACTGAGAGGGCAAGACTTCATGACCACCTTTGGCCTCCACCAACACATCACATAGCAGCAGCCTCATCTGTTCTGGACAGCTAGAGCAACCTGGGGGGAGGGGCACAAGGGGAAGCCAGCACAAGCTCTTAGGACCCTGTCAGTGCTGGGACATTGTGACCAATACATGAGAGTGGATGCTGTGTGAAAAAACAGCAGAGACCTAATCCAGGTGGGGAATGAGCAAGAGAGGGTTCCTGCTCCTCTGATGCCCTCCTGTGGTACAGTGACCAAATTCCTACCCTCCTTGGTGAATGCACATCATGCTGGTCCTAGAAAGATGCCAACACCAGTATGATGCCATCTAGACCTCCTGATGGGGCATTCTGAATCCTGAACTGAGCCTGAGGAGGTGAGGAAATATGCCCCTGAAATGCAGCCTCCTAGGAGACGATTCATATGACTAGGCCTGCATCCAGCCTCGTGGACCACTGTTCCCACACTGGCTGCAGTGGCAACCTGTCCCGGGGTACAGGGTAAAGAAACTCCTCCTGCCTCCTCTACCTTTGTCAGGGCTGCAGCTAGGTTGGGTGTGGGGCCCTGAAAAAACCCTGACTCCTCACCCCACAGACAAACCCAGTGCCACTTTCACCCTTGGCAGAGAAGACTAGGAAGTTTTTAAGTAATCATGGCCTCTGTCTTTGTTTTCCCTATGTAAGCTACAAACACAAAATGGAGTTAAATTGGGATCTATGTAGGGCCTTTCTTGCAGTGAAACTGTGGATAATTTTCTATACACAGCCATTTTCTAAGTTGTTATCCTTCTCCTGTCAAAAGATGGTTGAATTTAAGAGGAAGCAGTCTTCTAGCTGAACGTCTAGACCCTCTAAAACAAGAGCCTCGTATCTAAGAAGTCAGTTATCTAATAACCATGAGTTTCCCATAGAGAAGAGGAAACCAGTCACATAATGAGGAATAAATACAGCAAATTTCTTTTCCAGAAGAAATGGTTTCAACTTTAGAGCCCCAGGCACTACAAAAGCCACTGCTGACACAGCCCCAAGACAGGAAGGCCAAACTTTTAATGAAATATATAGGTTGTGATTCAGATAAGCGACAGGTTTTTGAGTGTATCCCAAATCTTGCATTGACCGTGCCATTCTCATTTTAAGGTATAAATTAAAATGAAATCTAATCCAGAAGCTTAGCGATGGAGTATCTAAAAGCTTCTTTTTTAGCTTATAAAAGTCTAATTGTGGGTCAGGTTCCCCAGTCAAAATATGAGTGTCAGTCTTCAGAGTTTAGTTTTTAAATATAAAAGGGGTCATACAATCTTGCTATGTCCTGAAATACAGAGGCAACAGAAACTGGTAATTCCCAAAACTCTATATTGCCTTAATGTCATCCATGGAAACAAAAGCATTCACTTAATTTTCTCCTCCCCGACTCTTTGTTCCCTTGGATAAAAGTTGGCCCAGGAGCTTTACTTCAAGACTATGGATCTGTATGCCTTGAGCTCACAAACTTTGTAACTTCTAGAAAGACTAGTGAAGCCTGAATTTCCTATCAAAACATTCCTTCTGATGGAACCCATTACAAGACACTATTCACATTGTGTAAGAGCTTTCCTGGTAGTGTTTAAAACAATCCAGATCTTACAAAACCACCTGTACAAAAGCAAGAAGGCTATCTCACAAGCCCTGTGGTAATGCCATCCATGTCAGCTCAGAAGCCTACTCGTGAGGAACCTCCAAAGGAAAAAGAATTAGAAATCAGCATGTAAAGGGTCACAGAAAAGATTTCTTTTAAATCTAACTCTGTAAACTATCCTTTCAAATCTGAGATAAGAGAGTGTAGGTAATGGGTACCATTGCCTCATTGGTCAATGGAGGATCAGGAACCAATCTCCATTTTCAATTGGGATTTTGAACTCACAGCACTGGGGTGTTGCAGGACTGTTAGAAAATTTAGCAGGGGCTTGTTCCTTTAAATTATTAATAATAGGGGCCGGGGAGATGGCTCAGTAGAATAAGCACTTCCCTGGCAAGTGCAAAGGCCTGACAGAGTTCAATCCCTGGTTCTGAAAATAATTAATAATAATAATAATAATAATAATAATATCAATAATAGGCTTTAGTCAACTTTTGGCCTCTAGTTTTAATGGGTGCTGCTTTTGATGAGGGGAAAGTAGTGAAATTTTCAATGTAGATCTTCCTATGTCTTGTTCCTTTTCCTCTTCCTATCATTCCCTGTATTGCCTGCACCTCTGGAGTTAATCTCAATCTCCACTAGGGGAAACCAAAATGCTGGCTTAGAATGCATCTAAATGATGTTATTTAATGGGACAGAATATTGTATCCCAGGAGGGAAACTGGAATGTCAGGCATAATCAAAAAGACATGTGAGAATAGAAATCCCAGCTGCAACTAAACGGCTGTAAAAACTATCTGACCACACTTTTTAGTTACACCTGCCATGATCATACTATTTGATGAGCAAGGATCAGTAGAGGAGTACAGAAAAATCAAGCACTGGTATATAGTAGAAGACAGACTTCTTTTCCCTCAATAGTTATGATTGCTCAGGGTTCCATAGGGAAGATGAATGTCTGATAAGGAGACTGTGACAGGTGCCCTGGGCCCTTCGGTGCTGTTGGATCAGCTGCTAAGATGGGTTTGACTTGCAAACTGTGGTCTCTGGGGCAGTCCAGGTTCCAGTGATGTCCATTACACACTGGGCATAGCTTGTGCAGGTGACCTGTTTCCCAATCTGTTTTGAAATATTCGGGCTTCTCACAGCCTCAGCACGTAGAAGAAATGAACTGGGCTTTGCCCTAGAATCCAGACAATTAGACTCAAGAGTATGCCTTCAAAACAGGGACAAGGGCTGCTGCTTTTTCTTGATCACTTGTTTGTTTGTTTGTTTGATTGGTTTTGGTGGAACCAGGGATTAAACTAAAGCCCTTGCGTTTATTTTATTAAGTCATCTCCCTGGCCTCTTTCCTGATCACTTCTGTACCTTCCCTTTGTTTCTTTTCTTTTCTTTTCTTTTCTTTTTTCTTTTTTCTTTTCTTTTTTGTGAAGCCAGGAGTTGAACTCAGGCCCTTGCGATTGACAGGGAAGTGCTTATTCCACTGAGCCATCTCTCCGGCCCCTTCCCTTTGTTTCTGATCTTTGCTCTTCTGCCCTTCTTCTCTAGAAGATAAAATGTTTCAACTCCAAAAATTCTAGGCTGCTGCTCAGCAGTCACTCTCTAACTGATGGATTGAGTCTGATTTAAAAGAAGCACTACATGCTTACTTGTCAAA